CCATGCTGGCTGACACATGCAGCAATTCGAACGAGCCACACAGCAGTCGCTGTTTGGTCGAGGCGTGATCGCGGTAGCGTGTCAATCACGTCCACGCAGAGTCCGGTCATTACTCTGTGCATGCCCACACTTTCGCCTTTCGCACGCTAGTTGCACACCAAGCTCTTCCCTCTCATGACCCATTGGATTCACCGGACTTAGACGGAAAACGGGACACCAGGGTCGCGGTTAAGGTGTGTGTCGCTCTCGAATGTCCGCGAGCACCGCGGTCGCAGTCACACCCGGGTGTACAAGTAGTGACCGCGCATCATTTTGACGCGCGCGGTGAATAGGAGTAGGGACATTATCGCACGCCGCATGCATACCGTGAATCACGTCGCGGCGCCAATACTTCACGAGTCCATCAATGCTATAGGCGACACATCCGCGCAGCAAATCCATAATACCGATCCGCCTCTCGCCCCCGTGCAAGGCGTGCACGCGCTCAACCCCACATGGAGCATCCCATACGTGCAGCTTGTGGTTATTGGGTCGCGGATGCCCGTGTTCCACCTACAGCAACTGGTGAACGGGCTCCACCTAGCACCGCGGCCACATATTCCGTTTGTGGCTGGGACGGTCGCGTTTCAAAATCAGCAGGATGATCTGACCGCGCATGGAGTATCCACGCCTCATCCCGGACCACAGGTTGATGGACAACACACCGCGTCCCCGTTCGTGCCCACAAGCCAGCTCTATGGGATTTGTAGGGCCGCAGTACGCGAATGTGGGATTCAGGTACGGGTACATCGGCGATCAACCACCGCCCACAGTGCACGCACCTGCGTCTGACGCGACTCCTCCAGTCGCCCCGTCAACCCCATTCCCCAGCGCGATCTATCAGGAAAGCCAGCCAACGGGGCAAGCCCCGCCAGACCCTAGAGAACCAATAGTGGTCGGTGTGGACATACAGCCGCGAACAGACGACCCATTATCGAACGCGAATACCGGCGAAATAGTACGTGAGGTGAATGGTGGAGCGGGAATGAATGCAAGCGCGCGTGCACATTCACCCCCAATATGGAACCTGAACTCACTGTTGCCAGGAAACCCGGACGTCCACATCCGCACCCCCGCGCAACCGACCGCAGTGGACGCGACCGGTGTAGGTGGGAAACCACAGGCGAACGCGGGGAACGCGGGACGTGGAGCGTGTGCAGGAGGAAACGCGGGAAGAGGAAGAGGGACTGGTGCAAGGGGAAACGCGGGAGGAGGAAGAGGGACTGGTGTGAGAGGGAACGCGGGAAGAGGGACAGGTGCGAGAGGAAGGGGTGGGAGAGCGAGCGCGGGACGTGGGACCGGTGTGGGAGGGAACGGAGGTAGTGCGAACGGGCGGAGAGCGCCTGGGGTGACAGGCAACGGCGGCAGAGGTAACGGTGTTAACGCGACCGGAGGTACCGGGAACGTGCCAGTCAGTAGACCGTGTATAAGGAGGCGGCGAGTCGAAGTCGTGCCGCACACGGCACGCAACGTATCGACGGGGGGGAGCAAAGGGCAAAGCAATGAGGATGACGAGGAAGACGCTGACGATGTGGACGACAGTTGAAACCCGAAAACTACCTTTCGAACTCGCTGTCCGCGCTCAACGAGGAGGAGGCGGAAGACAACGAACCGGTGCGGGGCACGCGAACGGACTTGGAGGTCCCCATCGCGGATTGGAACGGGCTTGGTGTGGAGGACACGCCGGCCGCAAAAAGAGAGATGTGCATGGGCATCCTCTACGGTGTCTCTGAGGCCACGCTGAAGAAGTATCGCGGTTGGGCCAGAGAGTACAAGCTCTTCATGGCGCACGAGCTGCAGAAATTGGACGCGAGTAGGTTCGGTGAGGAGGCCTCGTTGAGAAACGCGAACCTAGACGAGATCGGGGCCGCGCTCGAGCAGAACATGGGTGGTGACTGGAAGATGGCGGAGGGCGACGTGCAGTGGTTCCACGGCCCCGAGACGAATCCGTGGTGCTTACGCAAATACGTGACCTTCCTCGCGAACGAGATGGTCGCACAGGCGGACAGGATGGCCACCCTCAAGCGGCCCAACAAGACCTTGAAGAAGAGACGCCAGTGCTCCACTGCAATGCTGATGGGGCGTCTCAAGGCTTTGAACCTCCTCATCAAGCTGGACGGGGCCATCTTCAGGAAGCCCGTTCTAAACCTGCTACGCGACTTTGCGGAGTGTCGCATCTGGGTCCGCGTTCAAGTACGCGACCAGTACAAGCGGTTTATCGCGAAAGTATACGAACCTAGTGAACGCGTATGTCCAATGAAACCGCGTTCACTAACAGACTCACTATCGTCCAACTGGTTGTGCAGGGAACACATGGATCGTCATCGAGGCACGGCCCCGGACACATACAACCCAGACGAGTTCAAGAAGATGATGCGGAAGACCAGCATGGCCGCCATCTTGAGCAACTTCACACTAGCCAAGCAACGATACACGCAGGCAATGCATCGCGACCTCTGCATCCGGACGATGACCGTCCTGGGTCATCACACACTAGCCAGCGGGTGCACGATCAGAAACCTCCAGCTTCCAGACATGATGATGTGGAAGCTCGACGCAAAATCCGAGACGGACCCAGTGCGGAACGCGTTCGCTTTTGTCTGCGCGTGCAAGACGGGCAAGACAAACAAGGACTTCTTGCTCAACTACATCTCGGCAGTGAGACACATAGATTGGACTCTGTGCGCGGTCGGAGCCACGCTGCTCTGGCTGCACTGAGTGTACGACTTGGTCCCCATCCTCTACGGGGACATAGCCCCCCCTCTCGACTTCACGGAACCCTCAACGTGGTACGACCAGTACCTCTTCTTCCCCCTTCGCACGGGCATAGAGAAGCAAATACCGTCCACGACTCATCACGACTGGGCGGCGAAGATTCTGGGGGACGCGGGAATCACATACTCGCCTGTGGTTCACGCGACGAGAGCTGGTGGGGCTCAGCACTCGTCCGCGGACGGAATGCCCTCTGATCAGCTGGCAAGACTGGGGGGTTGGCGCTTCATTGACGTGATGACTAAGCACTACCTCACAACTATTCCGAGGGAGGCCGTGCTCCTGAAGGCTGGCTTCACAGGTGTTGATGGTGACTACTTCATAGGTCGCGCAACTGTTCCGGTGAGTGAGAAGCTGGAGAAGCAATTGAGGAAGCACATTTTCCCCTGGGCCGCACTGGTCAAAGGACAGAAACAGGTATGTGTGGGCCGCGTACAGTAGTATCAAATGACCGCGATCATTCCACATAACCCTCGGGCACCGCGCTAACTACCGCGTTGTTGTGTTGCACAGTGCCATGATTACAACGGGAAGATGGTCAGCGAGGACAAGGCGGAGAAGCAGGACACCGCGGGTCTAAACATACTGAAGGAGCTGGATAGGGAGGCTAGGATGGCGGTCACGCAAGACCTGACCATGTATTACATCCACCAACCGTGACACCCGTACGTGGTCAACAACCCGCTCTGCCAGACGGAGGAATTTGTGCGGTGGGCAGCAGATGTCTCCTTGGCAAATCAGCTGGCCATAGTACAGCGTAACACATCTGCACTAACCCATCCCGCAGTGCGTACTATATGGTTGCGTTACTAATTCGGCTGTAATGTCTATGAGTATCCATCACAATATTGCGTTCGCGTTCTGTATATGCAGGAGGTCAGTACCATAATGGACGCACAGAACCAGGTGACCGTCCTCACTGAGTACCTGACTCGTTTGCACGGACAACACCAGGCTGGGTGTAGAGTTGGTAGCGACTCATAAACGGGTGAAAGAGCTGGAGGGTCTGTTGGAAGAACGCGATCGAGAGCTGGCCGCGAAAGACAAACGCGTGAATGATCTGGAGGCCCAGCTGTCCCGTCTCACCGTGAGCAGCTCAAGGCCGATCGCGATCCGAGTCCGGCAAACACTCCTGGAGCCACGGCCGCGCCTACCAATGCCGCAACCCCCACCGACCAGAGAACGCGTAAGAAACCCGCACAGCCGACCAGGGACGAGACAATTCGGGACGCAATCATGAAACCATGGGTCAACGCGACCAAGCCATCGGACGGATGGAAGTTGTACAAGTCCACGCACCCGCTGATCGGCGAGAGTCCAGAGTCGCTCCTGTCCCGACCCCGCGGTGCAGTTACACGAATGGCCGAGCTAATTGGGAAGGAGGGAGGCGGCCAGAACGCTGCCTAGAATGCGATAAACCGTCTAAAGCGAGTCATGGACTTCATCTCCCGCAGGGTGGAGCAGGGAAACAACATTGCGGTCGTGCTCGATAAGCTCGACCTCGTGTCTCGAACTGTGGGCATGCTGGGTGTGTCGGAAGGTATCGCGGTGAAGAAGAGTGTTGACTTGAACCTGAGCGAGCTGAAAAAAGGTTCTCCGGCGGAGGTGCAGTTGCGGGTGAAATGGATGCTGGTACGCGACCGCATGATCGATGCCTCTCTACCCGCGTCAGAGTTTCCGGACGCGTGGCCTCAGTACTGTGCCCAGATGCCCCGACTAGCTTAATTGGGTGGTCCTACTATGTGCGCGTTGGGAAATAGCTTTAGATTGTGTTTCAAACAGGTACACCCAGTACCATACTGCTAGATTCGGGTGTTAATTGTACCGCGGTTGAATTGTGTGGTCTGTACAGTTTGTTCACAAAAAAATGCGTGTTTAAGGTGACCGCATACACGTTCACATACTGCCCGCGGCTATTTCTCTCGTGCATACTTCCCATCAGCAACGTGCCTATTTAGGGGTGATGTTAGGTCAATGCCCATGGTGGATTTACGCAAATCCCTGGCCGCGTGAGAAGCAAAAGAGTTGAATTACGAAAAAGGGGAGGGAGTACACAACACAGACAGAATGGCCACTGCGAGAAAATCTCAAGTAGGGTGGGCAAGCTACCTACACTACCAGGAGTCTCATGCGACCACACATACAAGAGTCTTTGTCACCTAGAGTTCACATCCTCTATACTATCACCTTCACGCGGACCTCTTCTTCGCGGACACCCGCTTCTCCGGCAAAGAGAGGTAGAGCCTGTTGGCCTCCATTGCCTTGGCCGTGATCTTGCAGTCGCACCAGGTCATCAGCACGTCTACTGCCTCGTGCGCGACCATAGCGACTAAAGTGAGGTCTCCACGTCGTGCACCAAGACGGTTCACGGCCGCGGTCTCAATCTTCTCCGCGACCTGCTTTGGTGTGACCTCAGAGGCTTGCTTGCGAGCATTCTCCTTCCTGGCCCACTTGAAAACCGCGGCCACGATCGTGGCGTAACCGTGGGCCGTTTCTTCTGGCGTGCCAGCAAGCTGCGTCGCGGAGTATCCAGCATCAGCGATAGCCTCGAGTTCGAGACCGTTGCTGGTCTCCCACACCATCGCGATGGCGCACGCGACCGCACCAACGAATAGGCCCGTTTGGGCGCCGGTGACATCGGGCTCCTCATCTGCAGCCTCCTTCCCCACCGCGGCTGCCCAAGCTATCGCGTTGCTGATCGGGGACCCGCGGCGGGTGAGGTCGCGGTAGGCCTTGAACATGTGGTGGTACCTGCATGCATGGGGTAACACGCAACATGGTTAGGCACGGGTGTGACCGCGTAAAACAAATGAGTGATCAGATGACCGTACCTGTCAACATTGCCGCAAAGGTTGTGGAGGTGCATGGTGGCGAATAGCCCGGTGCACAATGTCCCGGCCGCGGAGATGTCCTCGGCCCACTCACTCTTCAGCTGCGCAGTCAGCTTGAGCCTGGGGTCTATCTTCTTGTCGTAACACATCACCGCGATCGCGGTCAGATACTGCACCTCTTGGAGAGAGTGATGTCCGAGCCAGCAACGTCTCCCCCCCAGCCACGGTTCGCCCACCATCCCCTCCCCACCCCTGGGCGGAGGGCGGATACCACAGCCCTTGCGCTTGCCGCTTGTTCTGCTAGTGTCGCTTGGCCCCAAGAACCTCTGCATCACAAGCTCAACCTCATCGTCCGCGTCCGAGTCGTCGTCGTCGTCGTCGCGTTCACACTTCAACGCGGCTACAGGAGGCTTACAACCACTGCGGCCCTGATTCTTCGCCTTCACATCTGCAGAGGGGGGGATGGCAGGGGCGATAGAGCTGGGTCCAGGCTGTCGTGGCGCGACCGCGGCGGTGTTGCCTGACGCGGGCACAATCGCGGTGGTGATGGCGGTGGTGGTGGAGGTGGTGTTTGGCGGGGCGTCCTCGCCCTTGGCCTTGCCTTTACCAACTTCCACCCCCAAGGTCGGAGGCGGTGGTCCAGCAGCGGCAGCAGCCCCCCTGTTGGTCCCCGCAGCACGTTCGGCGACCGCGCCACCCTCTTCAGAAGGTCGGTGACGCTATGGATCGCGACCCCTTTCTGCCGCTTCCCACCCCTGCTGCTCTCACACTTACCTGCCTCCTTGTCCGCGACCCTCTTCCCTGTCTCCTTGTCCGCGACCCTCTTCACTGTCTCCTTGTCCGTGGCCTTCTTCCCGACCTCCTTCTTCGCGGCCATCTTCCCTGCCTCCTTCTCCGCGAACTCCTTCTCACGCGGTCCATCGGGGACTTGTTGTAGTGCTGCACGCCCGGAAAGCATCGCGATGATGATGTTGAGGGAGTTCGTGACGCCACTAGTTGTGATCGCTTTCTCGGCGGTACTCGCAATGTTGGATGACGGGCCGTCTATCTTCCGTGCGACCTTGTCTGTGAGCTTCTTCTGGGCGCTCTCTATGGAGTCCACAACCACCCCCTTCATGCTCCCCGCGCAGTCTTCCAACCGGGCCGCAGCACGTTTCAGCACCTCCCGCATGTCGCGATTCTCCGCCCTGTCCTTCGCGGCCAGCTTGGCTTCCCTGCGTATCACCCGGTCCGTGTTCTGCACGTGGGTTAGCACCTTCTCCACCGTGGCCTCGAGTTCTTTGTACTTCAGCGTGATCACCACCGCGAATTCAGCACCGGGCACCGCGGACGCGATCTCATCCAGCTTGCGCGTCTGATTTTTCAACTGCTCGTTCAAACGGAGGATCTCCGCGGCCAGCTTCTCAGGAGCCATCTTCACCAGCTCCGAGTGTTTCCGCTTGCCCAAGACCGGACTCTTGCCCGCAAACTCGCCCGACGGGGTCGCGCTACCATGGCGGGGGGACAGCACAGCCTGAAGACTGCGAATACTCTTCCCTGCACCCGCGACCGCGACCGCCGACCGCCCGGAATTGTTGGCCGCGATTTCTGCCACCTCCTCCTCCTCTTCCTCATCATCTGCGTCGTCCTGTTCCTCCTCCATTTCTTCCAACCCTCCAGCTCCAGATCACCGCGCTGGTGATCCTCCGCGGCATCCTCTTCGTCTTGACCGCGACCCTGACCCTCTGCCTTGTCTGCCTCGTCTTGACCGCGACCCTGACCCTCTGCCTCGTCTGCCTCCTCTTCATTGTTGTCATCTCCACCCTGCGGCGCGTTAACAGGGGCGTCCTCGTCGTAGTCAGAGCTCAAGCCCTCTTCCTTGTTGTCCGGTTTCCCCTGGTCCCCCTCCCCTGTGTTCGCGAGTGCAAGAGCTGTGTTGAGAGCGATGTTATCGCGTTCGGACACGCGGGATCCCGCGGGGTGTTCGTGCGACCTCTCACGGTCATTGCCGTGAGCATCCCCCCCATGACCGTCCGCGATGCCGCACCGGGATCTGAACGCGAGCTCTTCAGCGGCGCGTTTCGCATCCTGCCGCAATGTGTTCAGCGTCCTGGCAATTGGCTTGGCAATGCAAGGAGCAGGGTCGTGTCCAACAACCGCGTCGAGGTCGTTGAGAACTCTATCGAATGCGAACCCACATGCGAGTGGACCGCAAGGGGGCTTCCAGGAAGAAATATCCTGAAAGGAAACAAGGTGGACGGAATGTAGTGTTAAACGCGGCCAAATGAAATGCGACATATAAACCGCGAACATTAACAAACTCACCAGGTCCACATGGCGCGTCGGCTCGCCCAGCTGCCCTGCCCGGACGCACTGGACAGTATCGCTCCCGTAGTAGAGGCAAACACGACCGCGAAACCACCTGCACGGTTCAAAATACGTATCTCAGACACGGAGGTATAATAGCAACCAAGCGTAAAAGCAGCACCTCTGCAACATACGTATTTAACAATATGGTCCACCGTGGCAAGATGCTCAGCCGCGGCAGTGGGGTGACAAACGCGGACAAAGCGGGTTTTCCAGGGTGAGGTCGCACAGGAAACGGGGAAAAATAGACACAGAATCATCGTGGTCGGGGTGTGGCGCTAAACGTGGAAACAACCCGGACAGGAATCAATGGTTTCGCGAGAGGAATCAAGGGGTCAATAGATGGATCGGACGGAACTGTATGCAGACGAAAATGTCACGCGAATACGATTTACGCGACCGCGATGCAAGCATCTGTGGATGACCTAAACAAGCCTTAAGCCGGCGAGATGCGACCCCAAAAAGGCGCCCTTAACAAGCCTGGCATCACAAGGTAGACCTACCATGCGACAAAGTTGAAGGAGGTCGCGGTGAAAGGATGCTTATCATCGGAGAAGCACTTCCTCTGCTCGGGGGGGAGCTCCACAGTGGCGCCCGCGATCGAGATCGTAACAGTGTAAGTAGCGCCCTGCTCGCCACTGTTCAACAGTGCCTTCAATTCGCGACCGGCCATGGCGGGGGCAGAACGCGTGTAATTACCTACAACGCGGTCGATGCGATAAACCCTACGAGCGCCCACTGCCTAAACGCGAACGCGATCGCAAACTCTACAGCACAGAAGATCGCTCGCACCGAGACGTAGGCGGAGAGGACTTAGCAGGTTGACAAGAAGGAGAGCAAAGTAAGAAAGGTAAAATGAGCCCGTGAAACAGGGTTTCACGTGCCTAATAGGGACGGGACGCATCCAGGAAGGGGGCAGTGCGAGCAACAGGCAGGGGGGTGCCATTGCGCGTGGAGGGGATGAACCCGCGGGCCCCTTCGGACATCCTGAAGTGGGGGGCGTTCCCGTTCATGCATGCGGGTGGAACCATCACCCACCATATAGCACCCCGACCGCGGACTGCATGCAAGGGGCGACGGTTACCACCTCGGGTGGGGTGTATTCCTCGTTGCGTCTGCCAAAAAGCAAGGTTACGATCCCAAACTACCACTTTCTACACAAACGAAGAATACACAACACGTGTGTAGAAATGTAAATCGCGTTAAAAAAAACGAGCACGGAGAACACAGCACTTTCGAATGTATGTAAATAAAAGAAACACAAAATGAAGGAGGGCTTTACAACCAGGGGAATTTAAAATTTAATGGAACTGTCATGTGAAATGTCTATTGCGTTTGTTATTTGCGAGTAATAAAAAGAGTGTAACATCAGTACGTTGGGTGAACACTCTCATAAATTGCGGATGATTTATAGGCGAACCATGGCGACCCCCCGCACGCGCGAAGAGTATTTGGCGATGGGTTTCCGAACCAGGGATCTGGTATGGACCGTCACCGATTGGCCGGCGCGCACAGGCGACGCTTCGTACGGTCGGCCAGGCGTGCGAAGTGTTTCGCTAGGTCCATCCGGCCCCCAAGCCCATAAAAAACGGCTCCGATTTGCTAGACCAGCTTCGGCGCGCTCGGGGCCCGCGTGATTGGGTCGCGAGGGGTTTCGCGAGGGGATTCGCAAGCCAGGGCTGGGCTTCGGGGGACATCCGGGTGTGGTCCCGGGCTGCGTGGCGCTGGCGTGGAGGGGGCTCAGTGCGGGGCCAGCTGCCAGGGGCCCAGATCTCGCTAGGGACCTGGGAGGGGGCGGGGGACTCCCTCTCGTGTGCGATTCCCAGCTGGAGGTCGCGACCCACCAGGCATGCGCGTGCGGCCCTGGTGGAAACCCGTTTCCACCAGAAGGGGGCCCTGGTTGAAACCAACCCACCAGGGCCCGGATGGACTGGTGCATAGCATTCTGGTGTACACCAGAATTACAGTACAGTGTAAGCTCCCCGTTCGCTGACCCTGTGTGGCACGGCAGGACCCTTCCACTTGAACCATGGGGTCGCGCTGGACGTGGCTGGTTGGGCTTGTGAGCCAACAAGTGTACAATTCATACTGCAGTTCGCTCACATTTCTGGCAGTGTGAATTTGACAGCCACTGCTTTCATCTGGTCTAGTCCTTGCTCACCCTACCAGTGTCCAAAGGTTCTCCCATACAGAATAGCAATCACTCGCGAACGTTTTTGCCCGTGAGTGACTCAGCTGAGCATTGCGTGCGAAGTTCAGGGTACAGTCACCAAGTTGGGAAAGAAAGCATCTACACCACATAAACAATCGCCCGTCATAAGAAAGGTTACCTGGTTACGAACTTAAACACCCGTGGTTGACTTGTCCAACTTGTGGCTGGTCCCGTGACTGTCAATGGGAAGGGAGGCATGCTTCCCGCTCAAGATATTGTCCATGTTTCACATGCGACAATTATTGTGTTGTAGCACAACCTTTACAGCACAATGCACTACAATCTTAGCGAGGCTTCCTAGTTTGCTTCGAACCTCTCGCAGTTATGATAGCATTTCGGTGAGGGAGGAAGAAGGCTTGAAAGAGCAATCGCCCTTTCTTGACTGAGAATTCAAGGCAGCCCATATTTTGCCTAAGTGATTTCTAGACTGTCCCCAAGGTCCCAAGACGATTATTCACACTTAGTTCGTAATAATGTTACGATGTCACTCTTGAACAAGAAAAAAAACATATCCAATCAAAGGGAGTTTTTGTTTCGTTTATTTCATTCTTGGGCCGCAAATTGGTTATAATGATAAGGATACGTGATGGAAGAAATAATTGATCAGTTTTTGTTCATATATCTCTTGTAAACAAAAAAATTTGCTTAGGGCAAGTTTAAACTAAACCTAGGAAAAAATATGCGACCACATAACGCATGAATCATAAGTGCATTGTTGTGTTCAATCCAAATTTAGGTATTTTCTCTACTTGTATGTAATACAACGATGGACGACAGCTGTTGATGGACCGTTACGTCAAACGAAACAATCGACGAATGTTTGTTAAGATATACATTGCGCAATATGATCAACCCCAACGGTCAATCTAGAGCATGTTAGAAACATATATTTCATGCTTCTGATATGTCGAGCGCTATAACAAGAACGAAACGCATCCATACCAAAGCAACATGAGTCAACCAAGCTATAGCAAAGAGGTTGACAAAAGCGACAACAATATGAAGTTGAAGCGAAGGTCAAAGGTTAGTGACGGGCCTAATTTTATCAGTGTAAATCACCTTGATACTCTGATTATCAGGGTGGTTTTTGGTACTCACACTGATGCCAGAGGGTAATTTTTTCTGGAGCTTAGATTTTTATGATATGTCACGGTTTACGATCTTCTTAGCGAGTTTTACCCTGAAGGCCCCCCCCCCCACCCCCCCTCCTTTCTGAGGAGATAAACTCTATAACGGTGGGAGCTAGAATGGACGGTAGGCACGAGTTGGTAGAGTGATCGTAGCTCGGTCTGTATTCTCTAGGACTTGTGTTTTCACAAGGCAAAACAACAAGAATTTCACTAAGGAAAAGTTGAGAAGACAGAGTTTGGAATGAACAAGCAATGACAAAGGATTGACTACATCACATGCAAGGTTTGCTAGCACTCAGGAAGGTCGATCGCCAGCACGACAAAGTCGTCAACCTGCCAATGGAGCTAGTTTGCGGTCCGCCAACACAGCTCGTACGCAACTTGCCAACGCTGCAGATGGCGGCATGCCAACGCTGCACCCGCGCGACTTGCCAACGCAGCATCCGCGCAGCTTGCCAACATTGCATCCACGCGGCTTGCCAACATTGCATCCGCAAGTGATTGTAAGCACATGTGCAAGCACCTACTTCACATGTGCTTGTAGACAATTATGCATGACGTGCACTGTCACACACATTGCGCAGGTTGTCAGCCACATGCTGACGGTTGCACATGATGAGCCACGTCGACCATGAGCTGCCACGTCGGTCGACTTCGACACAGCAACCTCGACGACGTTCGCACACCTTCGCGCACCTCGTCGAGAAGGTAACTTGGTCAACCAGGTGAAGTCTCCAACATCTCAGCAGGATGATGACCTTCGTCATCGCCGGTTGACCTTCGTCATCATCGGACGATGACCTTCGTCGAGCACCTTCGCTAAACACCTCGGTCAACATTTCAAAATGTCAGCCCCTGATAGGTCGAAATTAGGGCACACTCGAATTTCTGGCCAAAATTCGCATGTGCAGTCTCAAGAGTGCGCAGGGTCAGACGCGATCCTGAGCAGACGAACACCCGCGAACTTCTGCACGAGCTACGCCACTTGTACATGTGCCACGAGTTGCACTCGCGGATGCTTCGATTACTCTTGCATGGATTCCCTAATACATCTCGCGTACAAACAACCATCGTACACCTGTAGACGATCGGTTGCACCCCCCGCACACCCGACCATGAAGTCAGATTTGCCCATGCGAGGGCGGGGCCAACTTCCTTCAACACTCTCCTGCCACGCTCACGCTTGGGCACCCTACGCACAAGGTCCACCCAGAACCCAAGGGATAGAATACACTGGGAAAATCCTTCGTCAGCGTGCACACACCACACAACACGCCGGTCATCGCACCAGCCGTGTAGAAGGGCACGGCACCTATTGCTGCACATCGTCATCACCGTCGCCAACGTTAGCTAGACGAACTTGGCTGATCGCGTCGGAGCACCGGTTGAAGGCCGGAAAGTGCAGCCCCTTCGTCAGGAAGTCAGCTGGCTGCTCAGAGGTGGGGATGTACTTCAACGCAATCTTCCCACGCTTCACCATCTGCTGCAGCCAAGCATAACGCCGCTCCATGTGCTTGAGGTTGCCCTTCAGCCCCAAGCCTTCCGCAATAGTGATGGTCGACTGGTTGTCCACACGAAGGACAGTCGGCATCCCAGGGTTTAGTAGCTCGAACTCTGCAAGGAGGAAGCGAAGTGGACGAGCCTCCTTGCCAGCTTCCGTGGCCGCGACGTACTCCGACTCGATCGAGGAGAGCGTCGCACACTTGATGCGCTGGCTTGACCAGGAAACTGCAGCCACTCCAAAGACAAACACATAGCCACCCGTGCTCGTCCGGTTTTGCTTGTCACCCGCGTCGTCGGCGTCCACGTAGCCGACCAAGCACAGTGACTCTGGTCCACCGCCAAAATCCAAAGCGGTGTCGCGGGTGTGGGCGAGGTAGTGCAGGCAGCGGTCGACCTCGCGCCAGTGGTTATCACTCCGCACCATCAGGCCACTTCCCAGCTTGCTGCACGCGAACGCGATGTCTGGCCTCGTCGTCGTCGCCACGAACTGCAACAAGCCAACCTTCTACCTGTACTCTTCCTCCTCACGCGCTTGAGCATCCTCGTCATCGAATGTCAGCTCCGCATAGGTGTTGACGGAGACCGGCGTCTTCGGGATGCGCCCGGTCTGCTCTTCGTCGATGAAACGCTTGCGGAGCTTGTCAACGTACGACTGCTGGTGCAGCCATAGCTTCCTTGCCGACCTGTCGTGAATGATTTCCAACCTAAGCTACCTCTCAACCGGGCTGATCTTGTGCAGCTAAAAGGCAGCCTCCAGCAGCTCCTTCAGCTCCTTCAGCATCGCGAGGCTGCAGCTGGCGACGAGTAGGTCGTCGACGTAGACAAGCACCCAACACATCACTCCTCTGTCACCGGCCTTGAAGTAGAGAGCCTCGTCGACCTGGCTCTTCTTCCAGCCAGTGCCCAGCAACACTCCGTCGAGGACCCTGTACCACAACAGTGGTGACTGTTTCAGTCCGTAGAGGCTTTTCAACAGCTTGCACACCCGGCCAATTCCATCGCCATAGTAGTCTGGCTGGTACATGTATAGCACCCTGTCCAGCTTACTCTGCAAGAATGCATTATTCATGTCAAGCTGCATTAGATGCAAGTCGCGGACAGCGACGATGCTAAGGAAAATCCTCAACATGACGTAGCTGCT